GAATACAGTAAAGCTTTCAAGTCATATAGCTCATTATGCAATCAAATTGCAAAGGTGAACTGCTTTTTCATTTTCAGAAGGTCTTATTAATGATCAATGTACAGAAATCTATTCTTTTTATTTCAAAAATAGAATGCTATCTTGTTTTGAAACCTAGAATGAGTAGATCATTTCTCAACTTGTGATAAGACTATCATAGACATTTATACCAAAGAACAGTATAAAGTATTTTCTGAAATGGGAGGTGGGAAGATAATTAGCAGACTCATTGAAGTATTTAACTAACTTTTTAGTGTAGGTCTTTAAATGGCATTGACTGTAAAATTGCAGAGACTTTATTTTTTACTTCAGTTATACTTGTTCTTATACATATCAAAACTGTCACTGTTAACTGGTTTAGTAGTCTCTGTGTACTAGTTCTTTGTGCAAGTATGAGTTTCAGGAATAAAATTATAAATCCTTTAGTACTGGGATGTAGGGTTTTCAACTCTTGTTTTTAATACTACAGTTCTTTATACATTATCTGTCAACATAGCAATCCTCCTAAAACAACTTGTAAGCATTGATAAACATTTGAGATTTAAAATATAATAAATAGTATTTAAAAGCAAACTAACCTATAGGTTACATAAAAGGTCAATTGATAATAATGGGTCTTTGGAGTTGGGAAAGGGAAGCATTTCTGGAATGATCTTCCCTTCATTCCTTCCTCTCCCTTCAGAAAATTGTCTTAAAATATGTATACATAACATATGTATATTATATATGTGTATATAAAATATGTATTGTACTTTCCTTGCATTTAAGGAAAAAATATTAAAGGTTATGCTCATAAATATTTGGCTTTTAGAGACAGTTGCCTGAAATTAAATAATTTGGATTTTAGATCTGACTAGAATTATATCTTTTTTATTAAAGTATTTATTAAAATGAAATCATCTCTGCCCTACATTACTGATCTTGCTCTTTTGTGTCTTGTTTTCTTTAAATACTCTCCCTGAAGCAATTTACTCTGCAGGAGTCAGTCTTCTAATTAAGTTTTTCTCTGTCTGCTCTCTTTCCCTCTGTCTTTCCTTCCTTCTCAAATGCTCTTACATATGATATACTGTTTTGTTCTATTTATATTCAAATATTTAAATGTTATCTCCTTATCTTAATTTAATTGAACCTTTCCTCTTGTCCTTCCCTTTTAACATTCTTCTTTCTATGTGTTGAATATATTATAAAACACAGATGATAAACTGTTGGAGTATATTTTGGTATATAATTTATATATAGTATCTAGCAGTTTTAGCACTTTTAAAATACTTATCATAATAAGTATCCAGACATGTTTATCATGTTTTTCTATGCACTTGCATATATAACAATTCCTTGAATGTTGGAATTTGCTTTTAAAGTGAATTCAGATAAATTGGATTCTAATTTATAACTTTTTAACATTTTTAACAATTTTCCCATCTGTTCTGTAAGAGAGGAGTTTAAAATTAGCCATCTTATGTTATACAACCAAATAATGTTTGTCTGCTGGAGATAAGGGCTTATCACTAAGCTCAGCGACAACTTAGACTTCAAAGCATAGCTCTTTATGAGTCTTGAGAGTTCTGTCAATACTTGGAGATGAAGAGGTGAGAGAAGTAGTAGCCCAATGAACTGTGTGAAAATTTGTAAGTAAGTAAGTGATAGAATGGAACTGTTTATAAAGCCATTCATTGTTCAGAAAATGAAGAAATACTGTAATGTGTATTTGCTTTCTGGTTTCTAGTAATTCTCACATTTAATTGCATTTTCTTAAACAGTCTACAATAGATCTGACTACTCTGACACTTACATGTATTTCTTTTGTTTTATTTCCATTTATAGATTGTGTGTAATCTAAAAATTGCACTGGCAAAATTAACTGGGCATTTATTTACATCATTTAACATTCATGAAAATGAATTGGTAAAACTTTGTAAACAAAGGGTTCAAATTAATTTTGTTCATGGGGTTCCATGAATACCATCTGGACAATCGTATGTCCATGGTGCCTGCAAATGCTGTGTTGTTGATGCCTGCAAAAAAGAAGATGGAAATTATTATTACTTTTTTCCTCTTGGTGCTATTCCATCTCTTCAGAAATGTACCAGTAAGGACACTACTGTGCTTTATTAAAAAAAAACTGTCATAATCCGTCTTTAGCATTGCACTTGTACAATGCTCTATGTCCATATTAGTTTGATTTAGTCAGAAAAGTTCTGTTTCCCTTAAGAACTGTTTTTACAATTTGCTAATATCTAGTTAAATGTGGAATGGGATAGATCTTCATTGAAGTCTACAGGCAATTCCAGTTTCTTTAAGCAACATCAGTTTGGTATGTAAAATTATTGCCACAAAATGGTATCAAAAGATATTTCAATTTCTATTAAAAATTGAGTGTAAACATCTAAGATATACATGAGTTGTCCTTACTTATTGACCATTTGTTCAGCAACTGTTCAGAGTTATAATAATGCTGAAAAAAATAAATTTATGGCCCATTTATAACCACTTAGATTTTCACAATGTCTCTTAGTCATGATGGTAGAACCTAGTCAGCCCTGTTGGTACAGTGGTTAGCATGCAGTATTGCAGGCTAACTGCCTACAGCCTGGAGTTCGATTCTGACAGGGCTCAAAGTTGACTCCGAGGTTGGAAAAATAAACATCTAGATTGGGGGCAATATGCTGACATTATAAAACTGTCAGAGTACTGTAAAGCACTATGGAATGATGTGTAAGTGCTATTGTTGTGATCACCATTATAGTCAGTATATGTTACCCTGTACCGGACCTATAGGTTTTTCTTCTTTTTTAACCTCTTTCAGAGGAGAGAGATTGGAGAGAAAGAGATCATAAGTAAATTACTTGCTCTTCTATACATTGAAAGCAGTGTGATCACACTGGAAGCTATGGGTGCATTATTTCAACAATTTGTCTCTTGAAATATCTTTCTTTCCAATCTCTCTGCTCTGCGGGAAGGGAGGAAGCAAGTGATTTCTATGGACAATTTCTCCTTTGCCTGATTTTTTCCCCTCCATTGCTATGATTACATTGTTTTCAATATGTAAAATAACAGTTTACTCTCTCAAAGTGTCTTTTTCTCCAATCTTTCCACTTTATCAGGGAGGGAAGAAGAGAAAAAAGTAATTTCTGTCTGTAATCTTCTCCTCCTGACCCCCCTTTCTGTGCAGAGTATTGTGAAATATTAAGAAAACATATTTTCATAGTGGAACATCTATTTGGAAATGACTATAACAAATCTAGATAGACTGAATCACACAAGTGGAAGCAATTGTGGCTAGCAACTTCACCACTAAGCGAAGCAGTCACTAAGTGTGAATGGCCTTAGTTGTGCTTTTTGGTTGGAAAGAAACAAGACTAATCGGTCTTCACTGCTCTTTGGAATACTTAAGTACAGTACCTGTTTACGGTCTCAACTTAAACCAGTTGCTTAGCAACTGTTTAAAGTTATGAATGCCTCAAAAGGTAATTATGACCTAGTTCCGAAGTTCTGACAGAGGCTCCCCATGCTGTCATATGACTGCATTTCTGGCACTCTGCATCCGGTTCACGTTTACAGCCATTTGCAACATCCCAGAGTCACAAGACTGCAATTTACAATGTTCTTGTTAAAAATTGTGATTTACTTCCATTTTCTTTTGGCAAAAACAACCTAGAGTGAACAGTGGGTTTATTTAATGACAATTCCAGAAAATGAAAGGTCATGAAATTTATGTTGGTCACATAATGACCTATTTTACAATCAACATGACTTATGACTGTAATGGACAGGCTATGTTATGATTGTAAATTGAGTCATGTACCTGTACATGTAGGAACATGTAATAACCACATGACTGTAAGGAATATCAATCCCACCACTCCCCAGCATTCAGTTAGAACTGAGGATGCTTCTTGGATGAGAAGCAAAACATCTTCAAGAAAAGAAAAAAAGAAAAAAAAGAAAGTCCAGTTGCATTTTGAAAAACCACCTTTGGGACCATCATGTCTTGGATGATTGAGAATCTCCATAGATATGTACCTGTATTGTTTTGATACACATTGAAAGTAATGCAGCACAGGGCTGGGAGTTGCGGGCACACTATACAAAAATCTTACAGTACTCTTTTGAAATCTCTTCTCCAATTTCTCAGTTTGGGAGGTGGTGGGAGAGGAAAAAAAAGCAAGGATTTCAGGAGACAATCTCTCCTTTGCCTGATTATTTCCTACCCTTGTGGAACAGAGAGATTAGAGAGAAAGGGATTGCAAGAGAGAAAACTGTTTACTTTTGCACACATCAAAAGCAATATGATTACATTTTATATATTTACTCCTGATGCATATTAATATTGGGGTAAAAATTTGGCTCTTCCTTTACATAATATTCCCTATTCCAAAGAATGTTCTATATAGAAAATATTCAGAGTAGTCAATCTTAGATATTAGTGCAGCTTGGTCTACTAGAATGTAGAACTTGATCTCAGAGCGTTTGCAAAGAAAAAGATTTAATTTTTTTATGGAGAAAATGATTTTTGTCACTGATCACTTCTTCTTGTAGCCCAATCCATTTCCATACAGTGTTTTTGTAACTAGTACCATCCCATCTTTGTTTTTTATATTTTTTCCAGACTTCTGCACTGTTGGTTTGCCCATGCTCTTTCTCTGTTGGGTATTGCTAAGGGAGGTAATAGTTGCTGCAAAACAACAAAAAGAATACCTTCCTTATAATGGAAAAAGTGTAATTCTATATCCATTACTTTAAAATATTCCGCATTATTGGCTGTATCATCTATCAACATAACTAAAACCATGTATGATATTGGTATAATGACTGTTGGAATGGATCTTGTTAAATTGAATTAACAGTCTTTTGAATGGGGTAATGCATATATGCAATAACTGACTGACAAGAAAGAGGGACACATAGGACAGCATGTATTTTGCTTCATCCGTGCTGACCTACAATGCTTGCCTTCGCAGATGGAACATGAGGATTTTGTAATGGAAGGGCATGGCAAGACTCCACCTCCTGGTGAAGAAAACAAACAGTGAGTCATGTTTATTTAAAAAGGGAATAGAATATGATATAAAGCACTTGTGAGTAAACATGGATGAACTCTTACTTCCCTTTTAAGGAATTCATTATTTAGCTATTTTAATGTTAAACTTACACTGCTAGTATATGCAATTTTAAACATACTTACCAGGAAGTAAGTATCATTGAACATGATGGTTTACTTCTGAGTAAGCATCAGATTTGGAACAAACCATCAAACGGTTTTTTGATTGATATAGTCTGATAGTATAGTGTACTACCAACAGCATTGAAAAGCTACCACCTTTTGCAAAATGAATTGCAGTAGTATACAAACTAAGATCTCTATTAATGTTCTATATTTATCTCAGGTGCATTTGTTATGAAATATGAGTCTTAGCATTTCAGTCCTGAACAAATCCAAGTAAGTACTATTATATGCACTAGGAGTTGTAATTAAACTATAGTGTTACTCTGCAGCAGTATACTATGGTCTAATGAAAGTGCATAAAGATCATAGTGAATTACTTTAGATAATGCAGTTAAATTTAATTGTTATGGGATTTTTTTCTTTTGACATATTCTGTAATCCAAACGGTATTGATTTATTTAAGAGACTCCCAGTATTGCATCATGAAACAACTGTTTTAAGGCAGTTCACAGCAATTCTTCAGTACTTTTGTTATCATTATCTTAAGACTTGACTGAATGAATTTCAGATCAGTGTGAGCTGTAGTGACATTATATCCTCCGATCAGTAGGCTTTTGCTTACCTCTCACAGTCTAAAGTCCACTTTCTTATGTATTCCTTTTCCATCAATTATATTGGTCTCTAGTTTCCCATCGGATATGGAGTGTTTTGTTAATGAAATTTATGCCTTCTAGACATCTTTACTACAAACTCTTTTTTATCAATCCATACTTTTAGCACTTTTAGTTTCATGTGAACTGAAATTCACTGAATTAAAAACTGTCATGTGCAGCCACCTTAACTTGGATAAGTGATTGGCTTAATTTAACAAATAAGGATATTCTTCCTCTTGAAAGGTGAGATTTAATGTATGGTTGGCATGCATATTTAATTTTTAACAAGAAAGTTGACCGGGCTTTTAAATCACATATTTTGAGGAATGCTCTACTTCGAGTTTGGAAAAAGTATTATTATAGGTTAAACTATAAAATACCTATCTGGGGGATTCCTGGACATGCAATTGAGGGAATTTCTAAGGGGATGAATTTTGAAAAAATTTCGTATAAAGAATTATTAATTTGGTCAGGTTTGGACTGGCATTTAAAATCTTTAGATCTATTAAGGCAAGAAAATATTTTACAGTCATGGTTTCAATATTTACAAATAGTGGATAGGTGGACTGTAGATAAGAAAGAGGGAATTACATTAGAAGATGAAAATTTGGTAATTCAGATTAAAGATCAGAATCAGGCTCATATAAAAAGAATTTATAATGCTTTAATAGAATTAGATTCGGAAACAGAATTGGTTAAAGACTGTATGATTAAATGGGCTCAGAATATCCAGGAACCGATCCCATTGGATTTATGGGAGATAATTTGGATCACAAATGTTAAATTTACACAAGCCCAAAATTTGAGGGAAAATTTTTATAAAATGTTTTATAGGTGACATTTAGATCCTAAAAAATTATCTTGTATGTACTTTAACTTACAACCCAAATGTTGGAGATGTGGTAATACAGATGCGACATATTTTCACGTTTGATGGAATTGTAAAAAAGTAAAGGCTTTTTGGATTATGATTTGGTGGAAAATTCAAAAGATTTTTAAAAGGAAGATAAAGTTTACTCCTCAATTATTCCTATTGGGTATTTTTGTGGATTTAGATGACAAAAAAACTATTTTAATGTTGAATTTATTAACTGCAGCAAGGTTACTAGTAGGTTCATATTGGAAGAAAGATTCGTTGCCTACTTTAGAAGAATGGATATCTAAAGTTTCTAATTTTGCAGAAATGGCAAAAATTTCTGCTTATTTAAAGGATCATACACAAGAAAGATATATTATTGTATGGAGAAGATGGATAGATTATATTCAGAAGAAGTACGGGACTACTTCTTTCATTTATTTTATGAGTAAATTTTATAGTAAATGTTGTATAACAGACTTGTTTATAATGATGTAATTTAAGGGGAGTTAAGGGCTAAGTATGATTTTTTTTCTTCTCTCTTTTTTTCTTTTTTTTTCTTTATTGTATATTGTTAATAACCCTGTACTCTGCTCTGGGAAGTGAGGGGGGGTTGAGGGTGGGTGGGTGGGAGAGTGGGTGGGTGGGTAAATAGGTAGAATAGGATAATATAGATATGGTAATTTACGAGAGAGGTGCTGCTTGGGCACTTCCCCTATGCTGTATTCCTGTGAGAGGGATGAGAGGGGAGGAAGGTGAAGGGAGGAAGTAGGATGGCAAGAGGAGAAGGGGAGGGGAAGAGAATAGGTGGGGAGGAGAGAAGGAGGAGGGAAGTAGGGAAGGTATTAGGGTAGATGCAGCGTGGGGGGAAGGAGCAAGCGGCACCTATGATTATGGTTATGGTTATTTTGTAAAGTGAATTTTGCTGTATACGTTGAATAAATGGAAAATAAAAAAAACTGTCATGTGTTAGCATGTTAAAAATATCTTTGAATTACTGATACTGATGGAAGAATTCTGCTACATTGTGACTAGATTATTATGTAGCATTAATACAGGTATGTAAAGTTATACATACAACTTTAATAATTGCCTACATGTTTACTTTGACTACTTTCTATTCGACCAGAAAAGTCATAAAAGGTCTTGCAGTATATAAATATAAACTTAATTTGTTTGGCTTATGGAAACAAGAGCGCAAAACTCATAAAACCAAGATCTGAAGACCATTATTTGTACTTTAAGAACAAAATTATATTGAAAGAACTGATATATATTTTATTAATTCATTCAGAATTCACACTTACTTTGCTGCCCTTTTACCTTAAAATAGCAGACTTAAAAGAGGTTACTCCCATTTTATTTTATTTTACTTTATTTTTTGCAACAACTTCCTAGACAGATGTGGTTGAAAGAGAATAGTAGACTTTAAGGTCTGGATGGGGAAGATGAACCTTATTCTTTGATCAAAGACTCAAATTGTAGACATTACACAATACTATAACTCTGTTTTTCAGTCTAAAAGTTCTTCTTTTGAAACAATGATTAATTTAAGCATTTTAAGATAATCTCTCCTCCAATAATAATATAAATTATACTTTTTCTATACTTACTACAAACTATTCTAAATACAAAGAGCAGGATAATTTCTTTGTTTCCTTTTCAAATATAATAGGCTTGTTTTAGAAGCTTCATTGCTTCAAAACACATTCTGGAAACATGTATCTTCCAAACATTCATTTCTTTCTTTCTTTCTTTCTTTCTTTCTTTCTTTCTTTCTTTCTTTCTTTCATGTATGTATGTATGTATGTATGTATGCTGAGGTTTTCGCGCGTGTTTGTATGTAGGTCTTTGGTTATTCGGGTTTTCTCCCGCGTAAAATTGGAAGTGTCTTGGCGACGTTTCAACGAAGTCCCATTCGTCATCTTCAGGCTGGTGTTTTCAGCTTCGTGCTTCGAGGAGCACGAAGCTGAAAACATGATTGCTTCTCGAAGCACGAAGCTGAAAACACCACCCTGAAGATGACGAATGGGATTTCGTCGAAACGTCGCCAAGACACTTCCAATTTTACACGGGAGAAAACCCGAATAACCAAAGACATACATACATACATACATATATATATGCTAAAAAAAATTGGATTGCTAACAAAGAGTTAAAGGCCGACTGGGATAGCTATTTTGAGCTAATTAGCTCTCATCAGCCAGCCATACCCTTCTGAGATTCGAACCTGGGCTGCTTGCACATTAGGCAGCTGTGTTGACCCCTAGGCGTGCAAGCAGTCCAGGTTCGAGTCTCAGAAGGGTATGGCTGGCTGATGAGAGCTAATTAGCTCGAAATAGCTGTCCCAGTCCCCCTTTAACTTTTTGTTAGCAATCCCAAAAAAATTTAGCGAACAAATGATGTCGCAGTAGCGACTGCTGCCTTTGGATAGCCCTAGATTGGGCTGATACAGGCAAAAGATTTCTTCCTCCCATATTTGGGCCAACAAGGTGCATCAAAAAACACTCAAGACATACACACACACACACACACGTGTGTGTGTGTGTGTTTGTATGCATGCTATTACTTATGCAAGTAATCGTTTGTTTTTTTCAATCTCACTAGTTAAGAAAAGTTGTCTGGATACTAGCACAACCATGTATTCATGTCATACCTGGCATATGCAGAAATTCTTACTGAAGACCATTCTGTTTCTCAGTATTTATCTTTGGAAAATACTATTTTCTCCTCTTCTCCTCCTTCCAAAATTGCCTTCAGGTGAAGCACAACTCCTGTTAACTGACATATCTATTCAATTTTTAAATTTAATTTATTAGGTTATGGTTCTGCCTTTATTGTATACAGCTCCAGGAATCATACATAATGTTCCTGTCTATTTTCCTCATAATAACAAACCTGTAAAGTGGAAGTGATTTGCTATTAATTTCCCAAAATAGTCTATCACCTAGTCTTTCCTGGTAGTTCCCCTCCATATGCTAACCAGATCTGTTTCTGTTCGGCTTTCTGGATCAGGGATCCCCAACCCCCTGTCCACGGAATGCCAGCAACCGGTCCGCACAAACAAACAAAGCCTCATCCACGAGATGCAGGCAGCGTACAATACCACGCACCCTCCCCCCCCCAGTCCACGGAAAACCCTCTCTCCATGAAACCAGTCCCTGGTGCCCAAAAGGTTGGGGAACTCTGTTCTAGATCATCTAAGATCAGTTAAATCCTACCACATGCTGATACTGGCTTCTATTAATTAAAAAGTTGTTGGAAGTTTTATTATGGGTACATTATGCTTTCTTGCTTTATTTTCCTAAATCTGCCAAATTCTGCCAATAGTTATCTGCTACAAGAGCAACGTCTAAGCCCAAAATAGATAGATAGATAGATAGATAGATAGATAGATAGATAGATAGATAGATAGATAGATAGATAGATAGCAGCTTCATTCTTCCTATGCGAATTCTTGTAACATCAATCCTATTCTCTTTATGGCTTTTTTCTGCTTTTAATGACAAAAAAAAAATTAGTGCCTTGCTGTACAGTTCAAATCCCCCCTCCCTTTTTTTTAAACATGCTCTTCCCTTTAGGCTTTCTGAAAATAAACCAGCTACAGATGAGTTCTATGATTACATGTGTCTACAAGAAGATCTATATTGCCTCAGTCTATTTGAAAGGGCAAAAATGCTGATTGTACACTTAGGGAGGCATAGAATTTCATCTCCTAAAACACCATTTTCACCTTCCTCTTACTAAACATGGTGATGTTGGTATTTCCAAAGTTAAAGCATATCTGTCTGTCTTGTCCAGTGGTTCTCAACCTTTCTAATGCCGTGACCCCATAATACAGTTCCCCATGTTGTGGTGACCCCCAAGTGGGTGTGGCCACCAATAAGAGGGAGTAGGACAGCTAGGGAAAAGGGGGAAAAATGGCGGACAGCGTGAAATGGTCATTCAACCCCAAACGGGGTCCCAACCCACAGGTTGAGAACCACTGGTCTTGTCTGTTTCTCCAGATGAGAAATATTCTGTGTAGAATATTTTTTATTAGAAGAAAAATGTGTATACTGTCTAGAAACAGGAACGTACTTCTCCATGGCTTGTGAGCAACAGGTATAGCCTTGAGGAAAATTTTCAAGTGATCATGGTAGAACTCAAACATCAATCACACATAGAAATCATAACCTAGGGTTCCAGTGAAAGTTTTGTAAATCATTTAAGGAAATTAAGATTTTGTCTTAGCTTGTTCTGCTAATTGACTTATATACCTCAGCTTGCCAAAGGTCAGATGTAGCCCTCGGTCCAAGAAAAATGGCACACCCGTGGTTTACTTAAAACAATAATTATGGTCAAATTCAAACTTCCTTGTGAAATTCGCTGCATTGAATTGTTTAATGTAATACAACTTGGTTCTCTCTAGATATAGATTGCAAGAGTTACAAATAAG